CATTCATAGTGATTAGAGCAACAGGTGTAACTTTCTAACTACTGTTATTTCTTATAGCTTAGGCATGTTACTGCCTTTACACATTGAACAAAAACTATTATAAATTACTTTATTTTTCTTTTATATCAGTCATGATATTGATGTTTTTCTATTTATATGTGTAAGTGGATTAGATTATCTGTGAATCTCATTTCAAGAAAGACTTTTAGAAAATATCTTATAAAAAGGTTATGTTAGGTCTGATAAAGTTTAGAAAATATTGAATTTAGGGATCATGAAAAACTGTTTTTTCTCTAAATAGAAATCAAATTCTTAAGCACTTACCTAACAAATATTAATACCCTTGTGGATAAGGAAACAGGGAGGAGGCATAAAACTGCATATTAATTTAACACTAAGGGAGGACAGTTTTATGCTTATTTTAGGAAGTGACTTTGGATTTTGTGTAGAGAGCATGGTCTCTTGAGTCAAATTACCTGTATTCAAATCATGGCTCTATCATTCTATATGTCATTTTGAGTGACTCGGTCTTTCTTTGCCTCATTTCTCTAGTGGGTAAAATGACCATCATAAGAGCTACATCACAGGGTTCTTATGAGAACGAAATGATATAATGGGTTGGTGTCTACAACAGTGACTGGTACATCAGAAGCAGGAAATACAAGAAAGCTTCGCTAATTACAAGCATCAAATATTTCATTCTGCAAAACAAAAATGCCTGAACTTTTGCTAAAATCATTACCATCTGAGAAATATTTCCTAAAGAATCAATGATCGCTTGATATGTGGAGAATAATTTCATGGTTTTGTGAATGCTAATAATAGATTCTTTGGGGTAGTGAGGTTTATTGCCAACTGCCACACAACTGCTCTGTAATGTACAAATATATCTTAGATTCCAAAGTGCAAGAAAGGAACATATGAAACATAACCAAAATATATTCCCTCATCAAATAAAATGTAAAGTGGTACAGACACACTATTTTGTAAGATCAATTAAGGCTTTATTCTTATCCAAATCAACAAATACCCTAAAGAGTCTCCCAAAATCTCAGCTCCATGTTACTCTAAGTTCATACAAAGGAAGAAACAACTGGGCTCCTATCTCGTGGGATGATGAGACTGATCTGTATGAAACAACCAGAGTCACTAAGAAGAAGACTATAATTACAGGCTAAATTGCATGGCACAGATCCTACGAGTTGCAGGAATTCAGAGGAGGATGATTAACGAGTGGTACAGTGGTTGAGGAATGTTGCACCTAGGGGAAGGCAAGCAAAATATAGCAGTACAACCTTGGTTAAGGCAGTTAACCTCTCAGTATTAATGTTTCCTCTTCAATAAAGTTTGAAAAGTTAATGTATGTAAAATGCCTAGCATGATCTAAAGCAGGAAAGGTTCGTGGTAGGGTCTTAGAAAATTGGTAGTATCTCCCCGAAAGAAGTATGTTTCAGAAACTTCCTTGGTGGTCCAGTGGTTAAGAATTTGCCTGCCAATGCAGGGGCACAGGTTGGATCCCTGGTTCGGGAAGATCCCACTTGCCTCGGGGCAACTAAGCCTCTGCACCACAGCTACTGAGTTTCTGCTCTAGAGCCTAGGAGCCAAAACTGCTGAATCCTGTGAGCCCTAAAGCTCATGCTCTGCAACAAGAGAAGCCACTGCAATGAGAAACCCGCACACCACAACTAGAGAGTAGACCCTGCTCATGGAAACTAGAGAAAACTGGCACGCAACAATGAAGAGCCAGCAAAGCCAAAAATATATAAATAAATTTAAAAAAAATTTAAAGAGTATGTTTCAGATAGCTGGATAACCTGCATCATGTAAACAAGACACATATTCCTTTCAAGAGTTTAGATTAAAAAAGGAAAAACCCACAAGTAACAGCCCTACTAATATAAGGTACAATTATCTGTGGCAAACAGCAATCACATTTCCCACCCCTCTGCACAGCAAAGTAACTCCTTTAGCACAGGAGACTTGGTGCATGTTAAAATTCTTGACAGTTCCTTCTGACAGGCAGATTCTTTCTTTAAAAAAAGAAATGGCATAGAATACACATATCTGTTTTTCCTTCTAAATCTTTGCTTTTAATTGCCCTTTCTCTTATTCAAATGTCATCACTTATTCCTTGGCCCTCCATCTTCTATAATAAAAAGTTATAATCACAATCACTTTTCTACTGTGATTTTCAGATAATTAAAATTAGAAGAAACTTAAGTATTTCTTCATTTCCAATCCATTCAATCAAGTATTCCATATCATGGCCTTTCTCCAATATACTGACAATAAGAGAAGGGAGGGTTCCTCCAAAGTGTCTCAGTACTTCTGAGGGAAATTACACTTAGCAGAGTACTGATTCCATTTACAGGCACCATCTATCATTGAAGTCTTTTCTTAACATTATTGGTTAGAGCACTAATTACTTAAGACTTTCAGACACCATATTGGTAAGTCTGACAAAGCCACATCTTCTAGGACTGTTCATCTTCTAGGACTGGTCAAAAACTGATACTGTCTTTAGCTCGAAAATAGAAGGCATATTAGTAATAAAAGTTTCCACTTTAGGCCAAATTAAATTATTCCAGTTACAAGACAGAGGATAATTTCACAGCAATTAAGAAGTGGGCCTTATGGAAAATTCCATTATTCATTCTTATCTATACAAAAGTAATTTTGCCCATGCAGTACAGGCTCTATATCCATTTCTTGCAGACAGAAATGAAGCAAGTCTTGGAATCATTACCTTGGCTTGTTCAGAAAGGAGAGAAGAATTGAAGATACAGTACTGGTAGTTTGAGGCGTTGCTATGTAAATTCATGAAAACAGGTCAGTTCTTTTGGTGTTTGTCATACAATGTGATAACACACATATAAATTATCTGTAAAACAAAACTGTTTTTCCTGCATTTTTTCTATGCTTTTTGGGTCTTTGATGCATATGAACAAATTCATTCTGACTAGGACTTCATTACTGCAGACAGAACAGTCCTTTGGTTTGCTGGTGGCCGATAGGGAGAACAGGGTGACTACCTGTGTGCTCTTTATTTCTGCAAGCCCCGAGCTGCAGGCAAAAGAAACTGTATTCTGTGACTTTGTCTCTTTACTTAACATTCTAATAATCTATGTAACACCATGCAAGGCAGTGTTAGGTAAACAGTGGTAAACAAAACCAAGACCCTGTCCTGGAATTCAGTCTTCTCAAACGTATTTTATGGTAGGTTTTGGCTTTAATTTTGCCTGTATATAGCCTAAGTGTATTTCTGGATTTGAGAGTCCAAAACAGACTCAAGATATGATAAACCATAGCTGTTGGGCAGGACCTTAAAGGAAGCAATGTTGAGGTTGAAGGGGTTGCTGCCAGGAAAAACCTGAGCCACACAGAGATGCAACCAAACTTCAACCCAAGGAATATCCCTTTCATACTGTTGTAACAAATTACCACAGACTTAACAGTGTTAAGGTACACAAATTAATTATCTTACAGGTTTGGAGGTTAGATAAAAATCAAGATGTGGATAGGGCTGCATTCCTTTGGAGGCTCTATGGGAAAATCTTCTCCCTTACCTTTCCAGCTTCTAGACAGGTTGACTTTATTCTTTGGATCTTTGTTCCTTCCTCCATCTTCAAATCTTTTTTTCTCCCACTTTTTCACTTTCTCACCTCTGCTCTGGTCATCAGTCTCACACTGACACTCCCACTTCTTCTTACTGTAATTATACAGGGTCCATCCACCGGGATAGCCCAGCACAATCTTTCAATCTCCTGATGCTTAACTGAAACATGCCTATGGAGTTCTTTTGCCAGGTAAGAAAAGACACAGGTTATGAAGGTTAGGACACGGACATTTTAGGGGGCCATAATTCAGTGTACTATAATAGGAAAAAAAAGAAACCCCCAAAATAAAAAACATTTGCCTCTTTTACATCTAACTTAACTAACTTAAAACTGGTAGACCAGTCGTTTGTTTTCTACTCAAGGCCATCTTGGTTATCCATTTTAACTGGCTTTTCTTCATAAAAATGGAGGTGGATGGCTCCTCTACCAATATTTCTCCGAGATCCCCTAGCTCTCTAACACCAGTTTTCCTCACAAGTCAACAAACTAAAACAACCATACACTGACATCCCCTTTGAAAGAACTCTACAAGCTAATTACCATGAACAGATACTTCACCAGAGCCAACCTTTCCTACCTTCTTTCAGAACTAAATTGGTTATTAGAATAATAAATTGATGGGGCTGGAAATAACTTTTCTATTTCCTGCAGTGAGGGGCCACGGAGAGAGATTCAGCAAATTGATTCTGACTTAATTCCTGCAAACATCACGCAAGACAAGCTCTTCTTTGATACAGATTATCAAGGTAAGGCTAGCAAGGAACAATATGCATGACTTTTGTGGTAAAAAGTCGTTCAGTAGCTTTTTCTCCCAGAGACGTTACAGGCCAGAATATTTTCACTTCACTACCCGAGAAAAGGGAAACAATTTGCTATTAATTTAGTTAAAAAATAAAGAGAATTTTGCTCCTGCCCATCGTGGAATAATAGGGAGTAGATTTACCCTCTTGCTTACAAAACCATAAAAACATGTTTTCAGACAACAGGAGGCAGTGTAGTACTGGGGTCCTTACAAATAACCCAGCGAACAATCTGGAGGTACTTCCAGACGCACTGCCAGGAAGAGAGGGGAGCGGGGTCTCACTGCTTCAGCCTCTGATTGCGAGCCACATTTATTTACGTAAGTCAAATTACCAATCCACCGGATTAAATTCGTAAAAATAAAGCTAACAGAGAACACCCGGACCGTAGGAAGCCTGCTAAACCATCCCAGAAGCCGCGAGTTCTCGCGTTCACATTGAGATTTACAACCCTGACGTCATCCTCACGGAGTCGCTCGCGAGATTAGAGAGTGGGTGGCACGAGCGGCAAGTTTTCGTCGAGCGCGGCTTCTGAGAGGAAAACAGACATTGATTGGCCTTGGTTTTATCGGGTGCTGCCGACATGAGCGACCCAGACGGGGTCGAGAGGACCCCTCTCCTTGAAACCCACAGCCTCACCACACCCGACTGTGCTGCCGTAGCCCCGGACCCTCGCCCGTGCCTGGAAACAGAGGCGTCACAGGTGATGGCGGAGACGGGTGAGGGGTGTTTCGAGGCCGTCGCGCTCCCACCAGCCCAGCTTCCAGAGGAGGAAGGCGCACCTCCAGCTGGTCCCCCAGATCCAGGCTATGCCGGTACGTTCCAGATCCGAGACGGTGGGGATGGCGGTTACGTTGCGCCCGAAGCGAGGCTAGAGCCGGCTCCGCCTCCTAGGGAGGGCTTGGAAACGGCGTCTGTGTTCCTGGCAACGGACGACAGCCTGGGAAATGGCCGTCAGACTGTAGAGCCGCAGGGCTCGAGTCGGGAGAAGGCGCTAGAAACTTGTGGCGCAGAGAAGTTGGGGTCTGACTTGATGTCGGAGGCGAAGGCTGAGGAAGCGAAGACTGAAGAGGGCCCCGTCTTCTCAGTCGCAGTGGATGAGGAGGTGGTGGGGAAGGAAAGAGCGAAGGAGGAGGAGGGAGTGGAGCATGGAATGGAGGTGGAGGAGAGGCCAGTCGGTGAAGAAATAGAAATGGTGGAGAACAGAGTGGTGGAGGAGGCGGGGCAGCGGCCCCTGCGTATGGATCTCCGCATGAACCCTCTGGAGGCCATCCAGCTAGAACTGGACACTGTGAACGCTCAGGCTGACCGGGCCTTTCAACAACTAGAGCATAAATTCGGGCGGATGCGTCGACACTACCTGGAGCGGAGGAACTACATCATTCAGAATATCCCGGGCTTCTGGGTCACTGCCTTTCGGAACCACCCCCAGTTGTCTCCTATGATTAGAGGCCAGGATGCAGAGATGTTAAGATACATAACCAATTTGGAGGTGAAGGAGCTCAGACACCCGCGAACAGGATGCAAGTTCAAGTTCTTCTTTCGGAGAAACCCGTATTTTCGAAACAAGCTGATTGTCAAAGAATATGAGGTCAGAGCCTCTGGCCGAGTAGTGTCTCTTTCCACTCCAATCATATGGCGTCGGGGCCATGAACCCCAGTCCTTCATTCGCCGGAACCAAGAGGTCGTGTGCAATTTCTTCACCTGGTTTTCAGACCACAGCCTTCCAGAGTCTGACAAGATTGCTGAAATTATCAAAGAGGACCTGTGGCCAAATCCACTGCAATACTACCTGCTGCGTGAAGGAGTCCGTAGAGCCAGACGTCGCCCATTAAGGGAGCCCGTGGAGATCCCCAGGCCCTTTGGGTTCCAGTCTGGTTAAACTTTGCCATTGGAAGGTTCCTGCACAAAGTCTCTTCGCTGCCTAATGGACCTGTGCTTGGACAACAGATATGGATATGTCTTCTAACCGTCTCCCCTCCCCCCGCCCCCATCCTTTTTTTCTCTTAACATTTCTGGAGCCTTTTTTTCCTCTGGACATAAAGTTCTCTCAGTCTCAAGATTGAGACAGTCATGGCCATGCTCCTTCACTTCCACATGGCCTTCGTGCTTTTCTGCATTAATATCACATGCTGCATGGCCCATGATTTATACCACTCCTAAGTAAGCTTGTTGATGTTGTAAATTTCATAGTCTTTATCTGCACTACTTGGACCCTGTTTGTTTCCAGAGCCTCCGGTCTGACTCATACCTGGAGGTATTTATCTAGGAGGGCATTCTGCCCATCATACTCTGCAGCACAGGCATATAGCCTGTGGATAACTGGGCATTAATGATATCAAGGGAGAACTGCAGTGGGCCACTTGGCCTGTATGATTTATGTGACTCCATTGCTCTTCTTGCACCTCTGGTCACCTACTATTGCTGCCTGCTACTGGCTGTGCCCTTGACTGCTACCTACTGGATGGACATCTAGAACTTTGTCAGCCCCACTCTGGTTTGTGGTAAACAATCTCCAGGTTTCCTGCCAGCACTCAGAAGACCCTTCCATTCTTCCCAAAAGACTTCTCCTCTATTCCTCATTCCTCCCCTCCCCCCCACTCCCATCATCCAGAACCCTGTTAACTGTCAAGCAAGTGGTTGAGGCGACAAGTTAGACTTCTTATGGCAGGTTGGCCTAAGGATGGTGTCCAATCAAAGTACCAGGCTTTCTCAGTCTCTAGTGAATCACCCCAAAAGCTGGGTACCTCTTTGTGCCTCCTTTTTTCATCCTGAGCATAATTAAGTGCCAGGGTGGCAGTATTCTTTCTTGGTTGTCTCTCTCTTGTCTTAAGTGGTAGCTCATAAGTGTGTGTAAATCAGGTCTTTTAGTTTTAATTTGGCTCTCTCCATTATTTCAAGGAACAGGCTGTCTTGTCTAATAGATTGCCAGAGCTCTTATTTTTTCTGCTCTCTTCTGCATCCTCCACCCCCATTAGTAACATCTAGAGGATTTAAAGGGAGACAGATTTAGATGAGATGAAAAGTGCTATTTAGGCCATAATTGATGGAAGAGTTAAAGATATTGTTATGGGTGCCTAAAGCAGGAGGAACTGAGCAGAAGACCACAGATAGGCAAAAATGAGCCAGGTTAAAATTGGGCCTAAAATTAAGACTGAGAGTCTTCAAGGAGGTTCTTTGTCTGTTAGTGGTGATGGGAGGAGAGGTTCCTTTCCCAGGATTAACGTGAGAATTGAAGGGGGTTAGAATGTTAAATACATTACTTAGAAAAGAGTTCTGTAAAAAAGGCAACTGAGTGCTTTCTCTTTTTTTCATTTGACTTAATTTATAAGGAGGGTTAGTACTGTGTGCTTTATTTCACTAGTATTTAGTAAAATCATGTTATTTTCCCTTGTTTCTGGTTACTGGGAAAATTGAGCTATACAGGCTTTATTTTGCTTTTAGTTGAGAACATTTGGAAAAATAACATGTGCTATTTCCCTGTATGATATAGACACTTAAATGAATATAGTGAATTTCAGCTTGTTTCTGTTAATAATTAAACTGTATCCTTAGAAATATAATTTGTGTAACTTGTTCTTGTCATATTCTTAATATTTTGGAAATTGTTGTCTTCATGAAAAAGTAGCCTACTAAAAATATGTGGCTTAATTATCTTAACTTGATAATTCGCCTCCTTAACAGCTTAGTAATTCATGTGTCTTCCTAAATAGCATAAATACTTGTGAAGTTGCTCTGCCAAATTGAAAGTGTACCATTGCTATATTTGTCTTTCTTTATATGCATGATGGTAAAATAAAAGCATGTTACTTGCTGGATTTCTTTTATTTCACCCTGCACATAAATGTGAATGAAGAAATTGTTCTAGGCAATGGCAGGTTATGAAATTACTGAAGTTCTTAAATGGATACAGTAGGCGTTCTCCAAAAAGGAAGAAGGGCTTCTCTGGTGACACAGACAGTAAAGAGTCTTCTGCTATGAAAAAGACCCTGGTTCGATCCTTGGGTCAGGAAGATCCCTGGAGAAGGGAGTGGCAATACACTCCAGTATTTTTTGCCCAGAGAATTCCATGTGCAGAGGAGCCTGGCAGGCAACAGTCCATAGGGTTGCAAAGAGTGGGACAGGACTGAGTGACTTAACACCTTCACTTTCAGAAATAAGAAAACGAGGATCACTACTGTATCTTCCAATGCAGGGAGGGTTGTTTTATTTAAAATGTTAACAATTTTAACTTTTTACTGATGATTTGATTTTTTTTCCATACAGCTTGTGTAGCATCATCCCCCTTTCACTTATCCCCAAGTCATACAAGTTCTTTTTATTCACTTTTGCATTTAATAAGCAAACATGCAGAGAGTTCTTATCATGAGTTATATACTTTAATATCCTTATACTTTCTCAACTCTAGAAACTTGTTTGTTCTTTTCTTCAATCTCATTACCTTCTGTCTGTGTCAAATCCTTTAAGGCCTGTCATAGATAACTCTTATGCCTTAACAGTTTTTCTATTCTAAATATTTCTTTATAAACTTGGTGTACTTTGTAGGGATGTATATTCTAGAAAATAACATGTAATAATTCATTATAGTGAATTCTACACAGTGATACAGTAAAATAAAATACAGAGATATACTTTCACAAGTTTTTCACACCTTCCCTTTCTAATTTGAAAGCTTTGTGAAAATAGAGGTAGGGTGTCTTGAACTTATAATGTTTTGCCCATAGTTGTCACCAGATAAATACTAATATTTATTGAATGACAAAATGATAACTCAAATGGAAAAAAATAACAACTTAGTACCCAGAAAAGACTTTTAATGAGGTAATGGAAAGAAGAAAAGTTTTTAAGGCATTTGTAAAACTGATGTCAACAAATTCGCATAGCCTTTCTTAAATAAATTTCATGTTTAAATAGAAAAGGTCTAAACACTAACTTTTCACTTGCCATTTTAATATGGCATTACTTAACTTTGGGTCAACTTTGGTGTGTTTTGGTTTTCTACATTTTAAGGTGACTGTCACACTAGGGATAGAAGAGATTAGACTCTAGATGTGTGTTGTCTTAAAATAGTCACATCATCAATGGCTGTTGAGCACTTGAAATGTGGTTAGTCCAAACTAGAATCTGCTGTAAGTATAAAATATATACTTGATTTCAAAGACAGTGTGGAAAAAAAGAATGTAAAATATCTCAATTTTTATATTGGTTGCATTGAAATACTTTTGATAGGTTAAAATAAAATATATTAATAATTTCCCCTACTTAAGACAGAGAGTGAGACATGACTTAGCAACTGAACAAGAACATTTTAAAAAATGTTTTATATAAAACAGCATAGTTCTAGACTTCTTGATGAATATGTCAAAGCATATATAAAATATTTATAGTGTCATTTTCTCCCCAGGAAATTTTTTGTGACTTTGAGTTCAGTCGCTCAGTCGTCTCCAATTCTGCAACCCCATGGGCTGCAGCACACCAGTCTTCCTTGTCCATCGCCAACTCCCAGAGCTTGCTCAGACTGATGTCCATCGAATCAGTGATGCCATCTAAGCATTTCATCCTCTGTCGTCCCCTTCACCTGCCTTCAGCCTTTCCCAGCATCAGTGTCTTTTCCAGTGAGTCAGTTCTTTGCATCAGGTAGCCAAAGTATTGGAGTTTCAGCATCAGCATCGGTCCTTCCAATGAATATTCAGGAGTGATTTCCTTTAGGATTGACTAGTTTGATCTCCTAAAGAGTCTTCTCCAACACCACAGTTCAACAGCATCAGTTCTTCAGTGCACATTTTTCTTTGACACAATACTTTGTGACTTTAGAGCAAAGTTTATCTAGCTAAAATTCAAGATGCGTAAAGTATAACGGGCTTCCCTGAAGGCTCAGCGGTAAAGAATCCGCCTGCAATGTGCAGGAGACATGGGTTCAATCCCTGGGTCAGGAAAGTCCCCTGGAGAAGGAAATGGCAAGCCACTCCAGTATTCTTGCCTGGGAAATCCCATGGACAGAGAAGCCAGGCAGGCTTAAGTTCATGAGACTGCAAAAGAGTTGGACCTGACATAGTGAGTAAACAACAACAAAATTATAGCTAGAAGCTGATGGGTAAGTGATAAAATGAACTGTATTTAATCAGTTTGTTCTTGGATACCTAAGATACACTCAGCATTTTGTAAAATGTACTGTGTAAAACTGATTTGGGGTATAAGGGAAGATGTCAAGTGCCGACAGTTATATTGGTTATTTAAAGTAGTGTTACTTAAAGTAGGTTATTTAAAGGACCTACAGCTTCCTATTTTTCTATAATGAAATGTTCTGTATTTTTTGGTGTACAGATGTACATGAAGCTCAGAAAATAATTTCAGTCATTAATCACCATACTGTGTGTCTCCAAATTTTAACAGTTGGCCATAACAGAAAAAGTAAATCCCCATCTAGTATGGACCAAATCAATTCAATGCTCACCACTTGGAGAAGCATATTTTATTTTTTAAATATTTATGATATATTTTTATGTTCTCTGTACCTTACTGTAAAGTGTATTTTGTTTTAGAAAATTAATGTTGTCTAAATTGTACTGAAGATTAGTTTGCAGCAATTAGTACTTACTTTGTTTTGGACATTAAGGATTATATGGGATAGTAAAATAAAGGTTGTCCTTGCCCTTGGGGAACTGTCTCATTGAGGGGGTACCATTCTTTGGATGTTTCCTCTTCAGCAAATTCATATATTAAAACTAGTTACATGCATAAGGAGACTCGGGCATAATGTGACCTAAAGGAGGTATCAGAGATGATCAGGACCATACTCCCCTCAGGGCCATTTTCCTCTCCCTCAATGTTAACATATGATTGAGGTCCTAGACTGTACAGAAGTGACAGGTACAATATGTT